GGGGGGGGGGGGGGGGTCGGCGGGGCTAATGGTGAATTTGTAAATAGTAGGGGGTGCTTGGTGGCCGGTGACAAGACCACACAAGGATGGCAATCATCTCGGGGTCGCTTTGTCGAGGAGACCCTAAGACGCCTATTGTTGCTGTACTGGGCCTCGGGCGTCCCGGCGAAGGGTGGATTGTTTCTTCGTTTGCCGTCGATGGTATGGCGAATATTCTTGGCTATTGAGCGACGACGGGAGCCGACCAGACCGGATGCACGGGGCCGGGTGTTCGTCCCAGCCATTAAACAAAATATCGTGAATAAATTCTAAAAACTCTCAAGTGTACCGGCTGCTCGAAAATGATCGTTCTCTCTGAAGCCCTCTTGAGTGTAAGGGAGAGCTCACATGTGCCTATGAGGACAACTAGGATACATGGACACGATCTGGGACGCCGTTCTGCACATCATAGGGTACGCGCACAGAACCGCCGTCTGCCCACGGGTGTTGTAGTCAGGTCTTGTCCACTGCAACACGATCTGCTCTTGTCTGTAGCCCTCGACCTTAATTTAACAACGAATCGCGAGAGACTAATTCGGATGTCGCATCGGGCGAAGAACAGCTACTGCGTACAAACAAGTGTCGGTGCTATTGTTGTGTCTTGAATACCTTCTCATCAGCGGGTGTGGGCTGGAGGCATATCCGGTCGGCACACTCACAGCAGTAGTCAAAACAACACAACAAACAATTATCATCACACCTCTGCAACATTTGGCGGACGCGGCCGAACTCGTCGGTGTAGTCCACCATCACATCTTCCTTCGGAGGAGGCTCGACCTCCATGTCCGCATCACCCGCCGCCGCCCCTCCTGTCTTCTTCCCTTCCTCGCCGCCGCTGTTTCTGTCATCCTTTCCCGCCTTGATATCCCCCGCGGTGATTTCGCCATTCTCCGCTCCCTCCTTGTCAACGGCAGTGCCAGCAGCAGCTACTTCCCCATTACCCGGACCGCTGGATGAGGCAGCAGCCGTGCCATTGCTGTTGTTGGCGCCTGCTACTGCATTGGTGGGCTTAGCGTCATCCGCCGCTGAGACTGCCGCCGCTCCTTCCAGGCTGTTTTGAATGGAAGGCTTGACGTCCCCGTCATTGCTGTTTGCTCCCGAATTCTCGGCAGCAGCAACCGCAGGAGGGGCTATACCGTTGCCGTTCTCGCCATTAATGGTAGCGTCGGCGGCTTTTGCCTCGGCGCTCTCCACCGCTGTGGCCACGGGCGCGGTCTCTTCGCCCTTACTCTCCTCAGCTTGTGGAGCGGCTGCGGGAGTGTCCTGGTGGAGTTTAGGATGGCAAGAGAGAGGGCGAGAGAGGGGCGAGAGAGAGAGCGGCGTTAAGCAAGAGGGCAACGGAGGTGTATCGCGACTAATTCTTAGAGAGAAATGATCGAGGGCGGCGCGACCGCATTCAAGGAAAACGACGATGCTGCTGTGTCTCAAGATGCTCTGAACGCTGCTTCGATCTTCATGGTGTAGTGGCTGCTGCATGGGGCGGGGAGCGCTTCTCGAGACGGGGTGGCCTTTGTGAATTCACCAGATGATGAAGACGACCATGTGTGGAATTGAGAGAACACGATCCAAGGCTCGGTGCTTACCTTAGCAATGTCACTCCCCTTTGCCTCCCCCGATGTTACCTCCACCACAGGCTCTGGATCCTTGAGTGCCCTACCGCGTGTACGCATCTTTGTTGCCCTTTGGTTGCCAACCCTCACGCTGTGGTGTGTGTACCGCTGTCCTCTGTGGTAGGGATAAAGCGCGAGGCGTTCCTTCATAGGGGACATACTCCTAACGTCCCCTCCCATCCACGTCTAATGTTCATTCGCGCGCTCCATCCTCGGAGAGAGGAAGCGGAGGGAAGCTATATGTGCTCCCAACAGGTGTGTTTGTTTTGTCGGCACCTATGTAGACTCCCAATGTAATGTGAACAACTACAGGTAGGCCAAGAGAGAAGAGAGAGAGGTGAAATGATGTTGTTGACGTGCGTATGATGCCCAATATCACCCCCATGAAGATTTGAACGTCTTTGTACGCTTGCAACATTGTCGATGCTCTCGCCGGGTTGGCTAACTAGACGGCTGGATGCATTGTTCACGCGAAGTCGTTGTATATTCCAAATGTGTAGCCTCAATGACTTCCCAGCCCGTGGATACAGCAACGAATTGCGCCAACTATCGTCTCGCGGTAGGGCGAAATATTAGGCGTCAAAAAACAAAGGCTGCTGTTGGAAGATTCGTCACCACCTTTACTACTTCGTTCTACGTGACTGGGTTGATTTGACTTTTTTTTCCGGCTCACTCAGCAAAATCGACACCACGATCTATTACAGTCGAGGGACCCTTTTAGTGCCGGTACGTGCACAGAGCGTTCACCGGCACTAAATCGGGCACCCGGCACTATTGCGAATAGTGCCAAAACGGCACTATTGAGGGCTGGCCAATCCCTCATTAGTGCCGGTACCGGCACTAATGAGTTTGTGTTCGATTTATGGTGTAGCGCCCACGCTTACGGGGCCAACAAAGAACGAAATGGATCGACACTATTACTGTACTGTTGAGTGAAGTTCCAGCATGGGCGTGGGCAGAGTTGAGTTTTCTTTTTGTTGTCTTGGGGCGCTCTTTGGTTCTTCATTTTCTTCTGCACCTCACTTATTTGCTTATTTGTGTACTGTCGTCGGGACAAATTCTCTCCTGTTTGCCTGGCGCACCCGCTTCGATGTTGCAAGAAAAAAAAAATGACATGCACGACGGGCAGCGCACCGCAAAAAATCAACAACCGTTTTTTTAGTGCCACAGCTGTTCCCCGCCCTTA